CTGTGTATTGATGCACAAAATTGTGCTTAGATGTAGATTTTAGCACGTTATACAAAAGCTTTTAGCACAAACGCCCAGAGCGCACTCGCCACAACACTTGTCATTCTGAGGCGACTCCCAAATCCAGCTGGATCCAGATGAATGTGTTATCCTGAGCTGGAGGTTTCTTCTTGTTAAAAGGGGCGTTTTTCCTTCCCACTGTCACCAAACGCTTCCTAAAAGGAGGTCGTTTGATTGTTAGGGTTTTTGGTCACTGGTGCTAAATGACGTAGCCACATATTTGCACCAGTAAGCTTCAGACAGCAGTAGGTGCACTGCATCCTCTTTTAGTGAAATTATTTTGGATTTCCTGAATGAGCGTAAATCAGAATACTAGCACGCTTTTAACCAGTTTCACGTCTTCATGTATTCTCCTACATGTCTCCTCTGCAGCCCTCTAAAGAGTCCCGTCTCTTCCCGGTGCTGGTGATCTCCAGAGTCGTGTTCATCCCTCTGCTGATGTTCTGTAATGTCCAGAGCCGCAACTACCTTCCTGTTTTATTTGAACACGACGCAGCATTTTCTGTCATCATGGTTTTCTTCTCTCTGTCCAGCGGCTACTTCGTCTGCCTGTCCATGTCCTACGCGCCACAGTGAGTACAGCGTCGACACATTCAGAGGTTGCACGATCACTCCGCAGACAGCTGCAGGACTGTGTTCTGATTCTTGTCATGTGGACATGTTTTGGTTGCTTATTATTGGAATTTGGGACCAAAAGATTTACAGTTTATTAAACAGTGTTGTGTTTTTGTGTTGTTTTGGAGCTCATGCTGTGTTTACGGAGTCTGTAACAGCTTAGTGTAATCGCCTTTTACAGCTTCTGAAATTCATCTGCATAACTGTGGTGTAGTCTTTCAAATCTTTATGCCCGTTTTGGACACAACTTTGTATGTGGAAGCATATGGAAATGTTCACACATGCAAAATTACCCCTGAGTTATGAAACATGCTGTTATGTTAGTGAGTCATTCTTGGTTTGTGCTTTGTGTCTGCAATCAGCATACTGCCACGCCTCATGTACCCATGCAGGGGTTTCATTTAAGGTGAAGTGGAGAAAGTGGCGAGGATGCTGTAAGGAAGACATGAAGACGTATTTGTGTACCAGGAGCAAAAACTGTAACAAATAACAAGGAAAAAATGAGATA